GAGAGAGAGAGAGAGAGAGAGAGAGAGAGAGAGAGAGAGAAGGGAGGAAGAGGAAGTATTGTGGGCGGTGAAGCGGAGGGCTTGTCAGGTCCATGACTGTGGCGCAGTTTGGCGGCTTCATGGCCAACTTCTGACAAAGCCCGTTTTTGTTTTGGGCTGCGCGGCGAGTTCCTGCAACTACTACCTGTTGTTTTCCCTGGCGTGGACTGCTTGATGCGCGGGTGCGCGCAGTGTCAGGACCAAGACGTTCGATTTCTTTGGCTACCAGAGGAAAAAAGCGCTGTTACCATCGCATGCCTGCTGCTTTGGTCAAGTCTGGAAGGCCGGACCGGGCAGGGTTTGCTTAGCTATTGTTTTTCTCTGCATTTTCCCCAGCCAACGCAATGAATGTGACATTTGTCGCGTTCCTCTGTGACGCACACGCTCTGCTGGATGTTGGGGTTGGTTGCGTGGGCCTCCGGCTGCAAGCAGCCTGTGCGTGTTATGATGCGGGGGTTGTTCGAGGGCGAGGAGGCGGCGCGGCCTGCCAGGCTTTGTGCTTCCCGTCAGGACGTTGGTGCCAACGGCGGTTACGCAAGCCGCAGGTCTAATCCGCGTTCTCCCCAGCAACAAGCCCCCCTGAGTAAACAAAAGCCGGAGGGCTTGTAATATTAGGGCCTTCTAGTTTTGTGGGACCCCGTTGATTTACAATTTTCGAGAGAGAGCTTTGAAAAAAGAAACCCAAAAATTAAAAACCTTGACTTGAGGCCCGCAGCTTTTGCCCGAGATCTCACGCAAGTCGTTTGTGAAACCCTCAAAACTCGCCATGGCTGGCTGCTCCGGTGCGACGCGGCAGAAGCTGGCTTGGGCGCCTCGGTTGGTTTGAGCTAAGTCGGAGATGTTGCTGACACTTTGATTGACTTGTTTTGCGATGTGTCGGGTGTAGCGGTTCCCGGCGCATAGAAGCGTGCTGTTGTTTGTCTGCCGGCTGTCGGTGTTTGAGAAGAAGCTCGCCTTGAGGCCTTCATTTTTCTGCTGGCGGCGCGGGAGGTGTCTGCGGCACGTGAGATGTACCGCGGAGCCGAGCTCAGCTCCTTGCAGGCAGAAGTTTTCCGGAGCGAGGACACACTTGTGTGAGCCTTCTCGCACGTGTGCGCCTGCAAGACACACTTTCGCGAGCGCGCTTGCACCAGCACAAATGTGCGAGACAACTGGCGCGCGAGACAACTTGCGCGAGCACACTTGCGCGAGAACACGTGCGAGACAACTTGCACGAGCACACTTGCGCGAGAACGCGTGCGCGAGACAGCTTGCGCGAGCGCACTTGCACGGGAACACGTGTGCAAGACAGCTTGTGCGGGCGCAGTTGCGCAAGAAACAGCAACCCTGCGCGAGAGATTAAAGTTATTTTTAGGGCGGCGCTGTGGGCGCCCTCTCTGCAAAACATGACATCCTCTTCAATGTGCAAAAGCTGTGCTTTATGGTGTTCCCGCAAGGGGTCGGTGTCGATGTCCGAGAACCGGTGCCGGATCCGCTTGGTCAATGCGGGGTGGTCGATGTGCCACAACTGCGGACTTTTGCTACTTTCGTGTGCTCGCGGATGAGTCTGGAGAAGCTGTCTCGAGGTGATGCGGAATGCGCAAACCGAAGCATTACCAGTTATCGAAGAGGACACACAGAAACACGCGCGCTTGTGCAGAGCAACTTGCGCAGAGTTAAGATGCGCTGGGCAGCTTCGCAGAGTACTTGTGGTGCGCAGAGCAAGTTTCAAGAACATTTCCAGAGAGCACTTGCGCAAGCAAACTCGCAGGAGCACACTTGCTCGAGCAAACTCGCGCGAGCATACTTGGGCAGGGAACTCGCGCGAGAATATGATGAAATTTCGCTTTGCAGTGCCCGTCGCATCGTGCACAGCATGAAAAGACCGCATTTGACATTATACTTACCCCGCGCTCTCTATTCTGTTATGCTTGCGGGCCACGTTTTTACGCCCTGCTTTGTGTTGTGTAGGCTATGCTGGCCAAGGAGGTTTGCAGGGGCTGTCTCGCCAGGCCACAACGCTGGGCCGCGCTGGTGAGGATTTCCAGCGCGCCGAGGCGGTGCGCGAGGACAGGTCCTTCTCCGTCCGGACCATGTGGGCCACAGGGAAGGCGTCGCTCGGATTGCCGAGTCAGGGGAGAGAGGGGGCGGGGAAGAGGTGGGAGAGAAGCGTCTTTCCGCGTGTTTCGATTTTCTAGCCGGAGCTGCAGGAGCACGCTCCGCGTACTACGTTTGTACTTAAAAGCTGCGATTTTCAAGCCGGAGCTGCCGCGGACCAGGGGGGAATCGAACCCGCGCAAACCACGAGACAACTTCCAAAGGCCATTTCGTGAGGAACAAGGCGCCACAGCGAGAGCGCTTCGACATGCACGATCTCCGGAGATGGTTCGCCGAGACCAAGAAGAATTCGCACAGCGCCACAGCGAGAGCGCTTCGACACGCACGATCTCCGCAGAGGGTCGCGCGGGCACCAACGCCGACGCCGGCCTCATGTGGCGGCGGACTCCTATTCTGCTTGTCCCTCTCTGTCCCACCTCTAATTCTCCTTGTCTCTTTGTCTCTTTGCCTCTTTGTTTCTTTGTCCCTTTGTTTTTTTCCTTTGTTTCTGTCTCTCTCTCTCTCTCTCTTTCTCTGTCTCTTTGTCTGTCTTTGTGTATGTTTTTGTCCTCTTGTCTCTTTCTTTCTTGCTTTCGTTCGTTCTTTCTTTCTTTCTTTCTTTCTGTCTGTCTTTCTTTCTTTCTTTCTTTCTGTCTCTCTTTTTCTGCTTCTCTCTTTTTGCTTCCTTCTTTGTCTCTTCCCCTCTTTCCATCTTCTATCTTTCTCCTTCTCTCTTTTTCTCTCTTTCTCTCTTTTTTTTTCTTCTCTCTGTCCCTCTTTCCGTCTTTCTTTCTTTTTGCTCTCTCTTTCTCTATTCCTCTCTTCCTCTCTTCTTCCCTGTGTGTCTGTCTGTTTGCGTGTCCGTGTGTCTGTCTGTCTGTCCATCTGTCTCTCTCTCTGTCTCTCTCTCTCTCTCTCTCTCTCTCTCTCTTTTTTCTCTCTCTCTCTCTCTGCCTGTCTGTCTGTCTGTCTGACTGTCTTTCTGTCTGTCTGTTTGTCTGGCAGGGTCAAACGCAAGGAGGCGTGCTTGTGGGCCAAGGTCATCGTTATTATGGTCGGATTCAACAATTACCTTCAGATATGTTGCTGGCAACACGTCCGCCCATGAGCCACCGAAGTATGTAGAGATTGATGGTCTGGACACAAAGTATCGGCTGATGCCAGACGGCGCGGCGGTGATCAAGGAGGTTCATGGAATGGACACTGTCAGCATTGTCGGGTGGCAAGCCTATGAAGGCGGCAAGTGGGGCAACACCAAGTACGCAAAGGATGAGGCCTTGTACTTCCGGGCTGACGACAACTCCGCCGTGGGCGAAACCAAGTCCAATTGGCGCGGCCGCTCGGTGGGGCATGTGGTCTACCAGGGTCACGGCCAGCTCTACTTCTTCAACAGCAAAGGCGTCCAGAAGGTCATCGAGGCGGACGAGATGACCGCTTACCCCGAGCCGCGTACGCAACGCCTGGAGCTTCACATGGACGGAAGCGAGGCCAAGGCCTTCAGCCAGCCGGACCGGGAGCTGAGCGTCCTGATCGATGCCATGTTGGGCGAGGCCTCCTGCATGGGCAAGAGCAGCAAGTGCGCCTTCCGGTGCTTCTACGACCCAGACAAGGACGTTTGCGGGCCCGCGCCTTTCTGCCAGAAGGCGGCCAAAACCTAATTTGTGTTTTCGTGCTTCGGCTTGGAGGCACCGGCGCAAAGCGAAGGTTGGGCGCAAGCTGCCCCTTTGGCTTGCGGAATGAACGGTTGTGTTTTCTTTGCTGGGAGTTGCGCAGAAGCTCGGGAGGTCGAGGAGAGCACATCCCCGAGCATTTTGGCGCCCTTCGGGCAGCAGCAGAAGTGCAAAGCTGCAGGCGCGGAAGAGAAGGAGGCCGGAGAGGGCCAAGTGTTCTCAGACATGGCTATACATGTGCAGCACATTTCTTTTGCCCTGCGCAGTATGTGTGTACAGGGGTTCTTGCGGCAAGAGTGGGGCAGGGTGAGGTTAAGGTTCGCAGCCTGCGTGGCGTCGTTCCGTGCGAGGCGGCCCCAAACTTTCGCAGCGCGTTTCACTTGAGCTCGCAGAGGAAAGCGGGTATGTTTCGAGTGTGTGCGAACCCTGGACTGGCGTGCCTCTGTGGGCTTTTCTCACGTTGGAGTGTTTACATCGAACGGAACCCTTTACGGACTTTCATGCTGCGGCTCGGTGGGGACTTCGAACTGGCTCTCGCAGAGGCGCGGTATGAGCCTTGAGCATCAAGGGGGTTCGTGTTGGTTGCTTGGGGTCTCGTTTCGCTTGTAGCACAAGTCTTGCAACTGATTTGCAGAGGCCGCAGACTTGGCGGTGAAGGCGGCCGCGGAAGATCTGAAGTCGATGGCCCTGGGCGTGACTGAGGAGCTGGAGGCCGCCCCCGAGATCAGCAAGTCCAAGGCCAGCCGCAGCACCATGAAGAAGACTTTCAAGCTGTACGAAAAGGCGCGGGCAGATTGCGGCCGATCCGGCGTGCTGTTGCGCATCTCGCACGAGGTGTTTCCGTTGACTCAGTTGACTTAGGCCAGCGCCATCCTCAACGTTTGGCAGGGGCGGCCCGGAAGAACATGTGCTTGCTGCGCTTGCCCCTCATGGTAAAAGGTTGTCGTGATTTCATCTCGCCCCACTTCGACGTCCGAAGTGTGATTGAAAATGCACATCTTGTGAGGCCAACTTGTCCAAAGCAAGTTGGCCTTTTGGTGTTGTTGGGCGTTATTTCACTTCTGGGCATGTCCAGTCATGAGCAACTAACATAGTGGTTTGTGCAACTACTCTGGTGGGACCGCTGTCAACCGCGGCACTCCGCTGGAAAGCTGGAACCGGGAGCAGTGTTCCCTTCAGCGAGTCGACAAGGTGGTGTGCAAGGGCGACCGATTGATGTCCGTTCAGGGGCACACGACGTTCAGCGAGATGCGGCAGAGCCTCAAGACGGAGTCAGAGGTTGCTTTGGTCTTTACCCACACTGCGGCGTTTGAAGAGGCCAAAGCCACCCCGGAAGAGGCGGGGCGTTGCAAGTGCAGGGCCGTCTGGGCAAACGCTGCGGAATTTGCAAGTTGAGCGGAACATTCTGCTGAGGTGGTGAAAGAGCCGGAGATTCCTGAAACTCCTGAGCCAGCGCAAGTCCAAGACGAGAAGGCCTGGTATGGGTTTGGTTTTTGTCCCAGCTTGATCGTGTGTTTCCTAGTTATGCACGCCAAGCTGAGTTTGATGCTGGGTCTGCTGCATCCTTCCCGGAACGGCATGATGTTTAACGCTACCCCTTTTCACCTGGTGAGCATCATTGATATCATGATATGTTGATGCCCGATCGTTGCAGCTGGTTGATCTGAGCTAACAGTAGCAGCTGGCCCTCCAGCCGAGACTGTTTTGGTTCCTTTGAAGGCCCCCCCCTTTGGGCCCTTCTTAGAAGCCGTTTTGGCCTTCGCAGAAGCATTTCCACTAGGCAACGCCTCGCCCTGCCGACGCCACGGGAGGTGACTCCCTTGGTTCGCCCCCCTTTTTCCACCAGTGCCTGAGAAGCAACATCTCAAAGGCAAGCTTGGCGGTGTTCGTGTGTTTGTGTGTGTGTGTGGATTTCAATGCAAGGACTCAAATGCGATTTATCTTTTGGCTTGGACTTACCTTGGACGCTGGGTAGAGACCGGCAAAGATTGCGCAGGAACAGGCCAAGGAGAAAGTGAAGCAGGAAAAGGCCAGGCTGGAGCATGAGGAGGAAGAGCGCAAGTTGATTGACGTCAGCCTGCGCAGCAAGGGCGACCGATTGATGTCCGTTCAGGGGCACACGACGTTCAGCGAGATGCGGCAGAGCCTCAAGACGGAGTCAGAGGTTGCTTTGGTCTTTACCCACACTGCGGCGTTTGAAGAGGCCAAAGCCACCCCGGAAGAGGCGGGGCGTTGCAAGTGCAGGGCCGTCTGGGCAAACGCTGCGGAATTTGCAAGTTGAGCGGAACATTCTGCTGAGGTGATGAAAGAGCCGGAGATTCCTGAAACTCCCGAGCCAGCGCAAGTCCAAGACAAGAAGGCCTGGTATGGGTTTGGTGTTTGTCCCAGCTTGATCGTGTGTTTCCTAGTTATGCACGCCAAGCTGAGTTTGATGCTGGGTCTGCTGCATCCTTCCCGGAACGGCATGATGTTTAACGCTACCCCTTTTCACCTGGTGAGCATCATTGATATCAGTGATATGTTGATGCCCGATCGTTGCAGCTGGTTGATCTGAGCTAACAGTAGCAGCTGGCCCTCCAGCCGAATGAGAAAAAAAATAAGGGGAGTGGAATGATTTGTTTTAGAAATGGAATTGATTTTTGTTGTTCGATGTTTTTTGGTTTAGTTTTAATAAAGGGTATTATAAAAGAATATATATATATATATATAATACGATTTAGGTTAATAATGAGATGATGAAATTGGTTGATTTTTGGTTTAAGATTTTTAAATATAATAATTGCTTAAATTGATTGAAACCGCATTGGTATGATTTATGAATTTATTTAAATATATTATTTTTATGTTGGTTTAAATATTGCGCTTGTTTTGCGAGAGGTTGGTGATATGAGAATTGAATGGTATGATTAATAATATGTTAATCGAATTTAATTTGGTGTTGTTTATATTTAAGATTTTTTGAGGATAATAATTTATGGATTTATTTTCTCTTGTTTTAGATAATTATGTTTTATTGATTAAATATAGAGGTATTATTGAGAAATTATATTTATAATTTGATTTTAGATATAATTTTTTGGAGTATTTTGTTTGGATAGGGTTTAAGACAAAGAATTAAATGTATAATTATTGAATTCTCGAAATATGTTGAAATTGTTTGTTGTTAAGCACTTGCTTGGTCTGTTTATTCTTGTTTTTGTGAGTATGATTGTATATATATATTTATAATTATGAAATTCGATATTTTTTTTATATATTGATTTTGTTATTTTTTTGTTATTTTGAAAGAAGTAGTGGGTCTTTGTTAGTATTTTTATGGATGGTTATAATTGATAATAATATAAAAGAGATATTTGGGGTATAATTTATTATGGTATTAAATGTTATAGATTATATTTGATTGAATATTTGATAAATATATATATTTTAATATTGTTTTTTATTTAAATTATTTATAGATTTGATATAATAAAAGGTGATTATATATGTTTATAATTAATATATATTAAGAAAGAAATTATGGATATTTTTGGATACCAATTTATTATAACCTTAAGATTTTGGAGGTTAGATAATTGATCGACAAATATATATTTATAGTATTGAATAGATGGATATAAATTGAATACATGATTAAGGAATATTTTATATAGTAATATTCTTTGACCTTAATGTTTTTTGGACTAAATAATTAATAAAATATATAATGATTATATTATTATTGAAAATAAATAATACCTTTTATGGAAAAATAAGAAGAAAATACTCTAGATTTTAAAATTCTATGGTTTTGAAAACATACAAATTAAAATTTGATAGATAAATTTATCATTATTTATAGTATTTGTTAAGAGAAATGATTGGAAAATCTTTTGTTTAGGCTTCGTATTGCAGATCAAAATCTTTAACGATCGGAATTGGAGTAAATATCGGGGCGCGTTATCGGCGCGCCGATGTCTTTAAGGGTTACGGAAGATATCGGTACATATGTCGACATCCGCGTACGCCGATATGATTATTGGGCCGCGATAGAACGGTGTGTATGCCAATATCCGCGCGCATCGATATCCTTATTGGGCTCCGCGCGCCGATATCCGCGCGTTCCGGTGTCCTAATAGATTTCGGTGCGCACGCCGATATCCGTGCGCGCCGATATTGCTGGGCCGCGGTAGATATCGTATATCGAAACGTATGCCGATCTCCGTACGGGCCGATATTCTTGCTAAGCCCTAATGCATATCGGTGCGTACGCGCCGATATCCTTCCATATTACCGCGGCCCAGCCAGGATATTAGCGTACGAGGATATCGGAGTGCGCACCGATATTTATTGGGGCCCAGCAAGGATATCGGCGCGTGCGGATATCGGCGCGGCGCGTGTTTGAACCCGCCACTCCCCCACCCGTTTTTACTATTATTATTTTTGAGTCTTTTTCATGGATTTGTTTTTAAGTTGTATATTAAAAAAATCATAAAATAGAAGATTAATGTAATATAACAATAAATTAAGATGATATGTTTGATAATATATGGTGATTTGTTTATTTATAATATATTGTATTTCTTATATAATTTTGTGTAATTTTGGGTGGAATTTTATTGGAACATTGGTGAAATTCCTTTTTGGAATGTATTTTGGGATTATTTTAGAATATATTTAGGATGATAAGTATATTTTATTATATATTATTAATTTCTATATTATTGATTTAAATATATTAAAATATGAATCTTTGTAATATTCAAAAAAATAATATATTCAATTATTAATTGAAGTATAATTGGAATATATATATATATAAATATATAAACAGATTAACTCTTTTTATATATAATTATTATAAATAATATTAATATTAGATATATTTGCAAAAAATGAATTGTTGGTTTATATGATTATGATTATGATTTCGCTTTTAGATTTAAACTCGATATTCTATAATTATCATATTATTTAATGGAATTATTTAATATATATCTCGAATATTTTTTATTATGTTTTTCAGGATATCTATATTATATATATAATAATTTAAGGAATCATTCTATTACACAATGTATTGGTTACGAGTCTCTGGTCTGGGAAAACACGGGCGAATGGGATATTTGGGGGATCCTATGTTTATATGTCGAATGAAAAACCAAAAAAACATATTTTGTTTCTTGGAATTAGATAGGCCTAATTTAAGATCTGGCTTCTAATTAATTCTTTCGAGAGATTATTCTTTGACATATGAAAAATATCGGGAGGAAATATTGGACCGCCTATTTAGGTGATTTTGGAAGTATCTATTTATAATTCATAATTATTTCCTTGACAATTTTTGATATATATTTATTTCATTTATATTTATTTCGTAAAAAATATTTTTTTAATAAGATTATCTGTATTTACGATATATAGATTTAAATTTCGTGGATCGAAATATTATTTGGTTATTTATATATTTATAATTTGTAAATTAGTTGATTTTATATATATATATATGATTTCTTATTATAAAATGAAATGATATTTGATATATATATATAATATTGAATTAGTAAAAACCAAAACACATATTTTTTATTTTAACATTTCTATCATTCTTGATTTTTTATATATCAATTAGGAATAAATACACATTTATGTTTCTTTTTAAAACCGATATTTGTTTATTCATATTTACATTTTATTCCAGATGTTTTTTAAAATAATTATATTACAAAATTATAATTTTCGAATCAGAATTTCGGATATTTCTTTTATTACAATTATATATTAAACTGCGATTAAAATTCCGGGTATTAAAAAATATTTTTAGAATGTGTTTTTTTCTAAAACAAAAATTATTTTCAAATTAAGAACGAATTTTGGCTCCAAAATTATTATTTTAAAATTTTGTAATCCAAAAATTATAATTTCAATATTATTTTGAACATAAGAATATATACATCCATTTCAATTATAAAATCCAAAGCAAAATACATAAATAAATAATCAATTAATTTCAAAATAACATATAATCAATCAATAAAATCATTTATTCTTTTTTATTTCATTTTTAAAATTATATATCTATATATATATATACATTTTAATAGAGGTCCTGGAGTTCGGGGCCTAAGCTGAAAGTCGCCAGCCGCCGATTTTGGACACAGCTGGGTCTCAGAGTTTCAGCAGCCGCCTATTTTTTTGGCTGGCTAGTTCCGCCGGGCATCTCCTTGGCTGGCTGGTTGATTCCGCCGGGCATGTCCTTGGCTGACTGGCTGATTCCGCCGGGCATCTCCTTGGCTGACTGGCTGATTCCGCCGGGCATTTTCTTGGCAGGCTGGCCGGCTAATTCCGCCGGTGGATTCCAGGCCGGCTTGCTGACCGATTCCGCAGACTGGTTCCGATCAGAAACGGTGGTTTACAAAAGCTGGCTTTTGTGTACGGCCGGCATCTTCCAACACAAGGCTTCCGCATGGGCGTTTCCTTAACTGTCTAATTCTGCCAGTGCGTAGCTCTGATGAGAAATGGTCGTTTACAAAAGTTGGTTTTTGTATACGTCCGGTTTCTTCCAACAGGAGGGTTCCGCTGAGCATTTCTTTGGCTGGCTGGCTAATTCCGCCGGTGGGTTCCTGGAGCCATGGTCCTCCTGAGTCCCCCTTTAATTTCCGGTACGAGGACACCTCCATGAATTTGCTTGCACCCTATAAAGGTTAAGGTGGTTCTAAATCAACCAACTCCTATTGATTTATCACCCAAGTATGGTGATGTTCAACCCAATTAGCAAAAGGTTCTAAGGCGTCAAATCCCACTTCTCCCAGTCGTTACCCCGAGTATGACTGACGCTGCACCGCATCGATTTTTCTTTTCTATACGTTCGATCTTGTATCTACTGCCCAAATCGATAAGAACACTCGTTCGAGGCATCCCCCCCGCAACGGGGCCAAACATTTACGAATGTTACAACTACGAGAAAAAACGCGCGGGACATTAAGTCCTGCACCTACCAACTGGGTTAAAACATCCAATATGGGTCCCTACATGTCCCTTTCGGCTGGTTTCCAATACGCCCTAATTTTCGGGAACCTGGCCAATCGGTAAACTTCCATTAGCAGTGATGTTTTACATAGATATGAACTTTCATTATCTATCTATCTATCTAGTTCTCTATCTCTCGATCTCCCTACCTCTCTATCTATCTCTCTATCTCTCTCTATCTCTCTCTCTCTAAATCTCTCCATCTATCTGTTTATTTATTTCTCTCTCTCTCTCTCTCTTTCCATCTATCTTTCTATATGTCCATCTACCTAGTCTATAATCTATCCACCGGTCACCTACCCATCTATTTATCTGCCTGCCTATGTACCTAGTTCTCAATCAATCGATCTATCTCCATCAATCTATCAATCTATCTACCGGTCTGTCTATCTATCTCTCTATCTCTATCCATCTATCTCTCTATCTCCCTCTCTCTCTCTCTCTCTCTGTGTCTCTGTCTTCCTATCTATCATCTACGTACTTATCCATTTATCCATCTATCTTTCTGCCCATTGATTTATCTGCCTGTCTATCTCTCTCTGTCTC